ACTGGAGCATCGTAAAATTTGATGTAGAAGCGGGAGGACTATTGAAAGCTTAGTTTGAAGAATCTCAGCAATTGGGGAACTCAGCTTTCCATTAACACTTGGCCCAAGTCCACCAATCGAGATCAATTCTCCATATGCTGCTGGGCCCTCTGAACCAGCCAATGCAATGGGCACTCCACCATTTACCAAAATCATCACGTACTGAACAACAAAGAAGAAGATTATGAGCATTATCCCAAAATTTTAACAAAATTATGCATATATACCCATTAACCCAACTTATGAAAGACCAATACTTTACCAACATCAATTTAACAAAAATTATGTCAACTAGTATACAGCTAGTACTTCAAGCAATGCATTTTAAGTTTGAGAATTGAAAAACTTATTGGTGGTGTAACGGCCCCGGAAATTTTAAATGAAATGTATATTAAAAATGTCAATGCGGAAGCGAAGTCAAAATTCGATTAACATCCCTTACACTGAAACCAGAAAAACGTGCTCAAAATATAAAAGATCAAACTAACTAAAAGAGAAATTCGAAAGTAAACTATGAATATGACTTTGGAGTCTTTAGGCGTCCCCTTCGTCGTCTTCTTGCGGAACGGGCTTGGGAACAATGTCTTCCTGATCTGAAATGATTAAATAAGGAATGAGCTACACTAGCCCAGTAAGGACATCACGATATCTCACCGTCACGGAGATAAAGGTGGGTAGAAAACACAAAAAGACCAATGGAGCATAATTTACAATAAACTCATTTATCAGTAATAAAACCTTTTACCATTCACTTACCTCGATGAAATTCATAAAACAATATACGAAAGCAATAACATTATCATCATCATGAAATCATATAAACTGTGTAACATAATACTTATCACGCCTTTGCAATTCAATCATTTCACAATTACTTTTCCTCATTCACCAGCCTACTAGTATCCATGGGGATCCATAGGGGTCCCGCTACCCGTTACCCTTAATACTTGTAATCAGATTCCAGGGCCGTCCCCATACCCCGTCCGGTATGAGTGCCAAAACTGTAAACCTCAATACCCCGTCCGGTATGATGGTGAAACGGGCCGTCCCCATACCCCGTCCGGTATGGGCGCCAAAACATAAGATCTCCATACCCCGTCCGGTATGAGAGACCACAATCCCGGTAGGGTCCCCTACGGACCCGGTCCGTCCACCATCTCCCAGGATATCTAGTCAGGCTGACCCCATTACACAATTATCAATTTATACAATCTTCCATTCTTCTTTCCCTCAATCAGCATCATCAATTCGCATTTAGATAAGCAAAACAGTAATTCATGCCAAACAGACAACATACAGTATCGGTATTTCAGTCATTCAACTAATAATCAATAAAACAGTAAAATATGCACACGAAACTATAAAATGAAAACATCAAACCTCATACTGCATTCAATACTGAAAATTAGATCAAACAATAACAGACCAACATTGTATCAGACTCGGGCTCCATCGGCAACCTCAATCAATTATACATCTATAAAGTCTCAAAATACTGTTTAATTATTTATTAAGCTTTAATACCGTGATAGGAAATAGGGTGAGGGGTCCTTACTCGTTTCGGGGTCCGAACACGGCTTCACAGTGCGCCTACAGGCTGTCCTTAATTTTTCCTGAATTTTCTCGGGGAA